GTTTGACCCTGGCTCTCCAATTCACAGAGGGAAACCCTGGGATTTAATCACTTCTTTAAGTCTTGTTATCTTGTATATAAGAAAAGCTGTAATAATGGTCATATTCTTGTGGGTTAAATAAGATCATGCATACAAAAATTTAATATGGCACATGGCTATAAGTGATCAATAAATAGTGGCTTTTATTATTGGTATAGAAATGATAAGATCTATGTTATAGCTTCATCATTTCCTAACTCTCTGCTTTGAGGCAGGTAAGTGGGATACAGATACATAGAGAAAATTCTGATATGATGCACCATCCTCACTCCCTATTTTTTTCCCATGAACCTTCCTCCTAGTGTCATTTTTGGCTTACGTTACACTTTGTAGGAATCCAACCAGGCTTTTGTTGGCATTAAACCCTCAGCTTAGGACATATGGCTTCTAGCATCTCAGTATTTCTTGCTGGGAATTATACCTCAGTTGGAAGACTTTCCTTTCAACCTAATAAAAAAAAATTCATTCAATAAATGTTTATAAGCCCCCTCCTCAATGCCCGTTCTCTGTGTTGGGTCAAATCATGAACAAGATACACAGAGTGCCTGTCTTTCTGGAGTTTAAAGTCTGGGGCCAATCTCACCAATTAGTTCTAAATAATTAATTCAGAATCCATAAAACGCTTAAGGGGTTTAACACTCCAGGGGGTGTTGCAGACTTGCTGTGATGATGGCTCATTAAAAAAGCCTGGAGAAAGGGATAGCCTGAACTGAGAAACACTGAACACCCAAATTCACCTGGCAGACCCAGGAGAAAAGGAAGAAAAGTCTCAGGGCAGGCTTCCAGAGTGGATACATATATCACAGGAAGCCAGAAGACCCAGCAGAGGACTACATTCCCTGGAGGGCCAGGTAGCACACCACTTGTCAAGGCCATCGGGAATGCACTGGGAGACGGCACCAGTGAGCAGGCCCCTGTGTCCCCAGGTTTGGTAGTAGACTAGGACTCACCGGAGCAAAGGAGGTTGTTCTCTGTGTTGCTGGCAATAGGGTAGATGGGTGTTGAAAAGTCTCCCCGCTTCCCAAGCAACAGAGGCTAGGCGGTGGTGCTTCCTCCGCCCTTCCTTTTGCAGATGTAAGACCTTCACCTGAAGGCTTTCCCCACCCAATCCTAATTCCACCTTCATTCATTTTTCACAGGCTTTATCCCCCCTAAAACTGCTTTCACTGCTACCTCTGACTCCGATGCTGATCTGCTTCCTGGGGGGGGCCTAAGTGACACGATGAGCTTCTAGAAATGTTTTTCATACCTAATTCTAAGTTCTGTGTTCCACCACAGCTGTTTTTTCCTCTCCTCAGTGGTTAAAAAAGAGGGTTTTCCAAAGCTCATCAGATAGCTGCAGCAAAAAGAAAAAAACAGAATGCTGCAGTATATTTCCAGGGAAGGTACGCAAAGCAAAGACAACAACGAATGTCAAAGGTAATGGTTTTTAGTGTAGAAAAAAAGGTTTTCACCAACTTTTTTGGAGTCTTGCTCTGTCGCCCAGACTGGAGTGCAGTGGCTCAATCTCAGCTCACCACAACCTCCGCCTCCTGGGTTCAATTGATTCTCCTGCCTCAGCCTCCCAAGTAGTGGGAATTATAGGTGCCCACCACTATGCCCAGCTAACTTTTGTATTTTTAGTAGAGACAGGGTTTTGCCATGTTAGCCAGGCTGGTCTCGAACTCCTGACCTCAAGCGATCCTTCTGCCCAGCCTCCCAAAGTACTGGGATTACAGACGTGAGCCACCGTGTCTGGCATAATCAACTTATTTTCAAGACCTCTGACTATTTCTTGTAGAAGCTAAACCAAATTTCTCGCACATCTATCTGATTCCACAGCCAACAAGAAGGTCGGAAAAGAAAATGCAAGGTTGGGTGCCGAGGCAACACAGCCCTGAGGCACACAGTACCTCATCATTTTTCTTTCCTCTCTTCTTTCTACCACTTTGCCTTTTTCTTCCTTTTTATGGCCAAGGTAAGTGCGGGATGTGGGCCAAACAAGTTTAATCTGAACTGTTCATTTTAGCTTAATTTAAAATATTTTCTCATGAACACACTGCATAAGCCTCTGTAAAAAAGAGGACCCCAGGGCAGCTTGAGGCACTCATATGTAACTAATTAATGCACAAAGCAGGCAATTACTTCCCTTCATTAGAGCTCTTCCCATCTCTGGGCTTAAAGTGATCTTCCTGTGAACTCCCACATGCATTAACTGTTTGTCTAACGATACCTTTCAGCTCTGTGTTGACAGGGGTGAATGTGCTACCCTCACTAGAATCTAAGTTATTTGAGGGTGGAATCTATAATATATTCATCCTGGTAAACTCCATAGCACTTAGTGTAGTGCCTTGTACATAGCATATGCCAAACACTTGAGAGCTTGCAAAAGCAGTGCTGGAACAAACAGTATGGCTGCTACAGACAGCAAGCTTCTAAGGGGTGGTCAGTGGCACCAAATGGAGCAGAGCATTTAAAAGCGGGTAAAAAAGATCACTGTAGTTGACGATCATGCTGTGTGGCAGTGTGGTAAAGCTGTAGGCCCAATCCTCAGCATCTAATGAACGAGCAATGAGCCAGTAAGTGTAGATACCCTTTCAAGAAGTTTGGAGACGTAAGGAAGAAGACATAGCATAACAGCTTGACTGATGGCAGGGTAAATGCCTTTTTGTTGTTAAAAAGCCTTGAATAAGGTCTTGAATAAGACTGTAGACTTAGAAGAAGAAATCAACAGAGACGCTGCAAGACGCTACAAGGGTGTAGAACAGGTGGGCGGGTATGGGCCAAGGTCACAAATGAAGAGTCTTGGAAAGGAGGTGGGGATACCTATTATTTGAAAGTAGGAAGAATGATGGAGAGAACATCTGCTTGTAGTTCTGAGGGCAGGGCTTCAAGCTAATGCAGAATATAAAAGCTATGGAAGTAAAAATGAGAGTCAATTAAAGGAAGGACTACTGAGTTGAAAAGAACAGCCATCATTCTGCAGAAGAATCTAATCAGCCAAATATTATGACTTTATGTATCAACATTCAGTAAGTCAGAATCTAACAGAAAATGAATGGTGGTGTTATCAGTTTCCTAGGGCCAAGGTAGCAAACTACCAAAAAAGTGTGGCTTAAAATAACAGTTCTGAAGGCAAGAATTCAGAAATGATGGTGTCTGCAGGACCAAGCTTTCTCTGACGGCTCTAGGGGAGAATAGTCCTTACTACTTCTAACTTCTGGTGTTTGCCGGCAAGCCTTGGCGTTCCTTGGCCTGTAGAGTCACAAGCTCATCTTCCCTCTGTGTCTGTGTGTGCAAACTTCCCCTCTAAAAAAAACAGCAAATTAAATCAGACTGACCCTGATGATCTCGTTTTAAATTTGATTACCTCAGTAAAAGAACTTATTTCCAACTAAGGTCAGATTCTAAGGGACTGGAGATTAGGGATACAACTTACCTTTTTTAGGAAACACAATTCTACCTATAGCAGATGGGTGCAAGGGTGTAGGTCAAAGGCTGACAAGTGAGCGTGGATAAAGGGAGTGAGAGAGAATGAAGCTGCTAATGAGAACATCAGGGGCATGACTGCCCATGGGGCCTACACTGGGAGAGAAGCAAATTCTGGAGATCAAGAGTTGGCGTGATGGGGTAAAGGGTTAACAGGAAGGAAGTCACAGGGCAAGCTGGTTCAGCAGCAGTCATGGTACGAGACAAGATTGAGAGAATGGGGACTTCAGGGTCTAAGATCTTGGATTCATGATATGAGGCTGGAGGTTTGCCTGTGACTATGGCAGGTTAGCTGTAGAAGGTAATTTGTTACTGAGAGATGACCCAGTTGAGGTCATCTCCAGAGGCCAGGGCACCAAGAGCAGTTTCTCCATCCACATGGAAGAATATGGAAGATGGCATGAGGGAAGGGGACAAAGGACAACTGTATTGGGAAGTGCTAGGCCGGGCGCGGTGGCTCACGCCTGTAATCCCAGCACTTTGGGAGGCCGAGGCGGGTGGATCACGAGGTCAAGAGATCGAGACCATCCTGGCCAACATGGTGAAACCCCGTCTCTACTGAAAATACAAAAAATTAGCTGGGCATGGTGGTGCGTGCCTGTAATCCCAGCTACTCAGGAGGCTGAGGCAGGAGGATTGCCTGAACCCAGGAGGCGGAGGTTGCGGTGAGCCGAGATCGCGCCATTGCACTCCAGCCTGGGTAACAAGAGCGAAACTCCGTCTCAAAAAAAAAAAAGGGAAGTGCTAATTGTGAAGAAAGGTGAGATAATATCCTATAGCTCAGGGGATAAGGACACGGTGAAAGGGCAGAAGATTTGGAGGGGAAAGACTCTAAGAGTCCTCAGAAATGGGGCACAAGTGTGGAAGGAATCCTAAGGCACAGGGGACGTGGGAATTCCTGTGGGACGACAGTACAGTGCAGAAGTGGTCTCTTTTGGTGAAGACTGGGAGTAAATGCTGGGGCTGGAGAGGGAGGAAAAATGAAGGCAAAATGATGAGCCAAAGCCTAACCAGATACTTCATGCTGTGATAATCATTACTGAGCAAAAGTTGCCTTTTGATTTATCTTGAATGTCATGAGGGAGTGGCTGAAAAAGCCCCCCTGTTGTTGGTAAACCAAAACGTCTGTACTGACATTTGGTCACGGCCCTCTACCTAAGTAAGACTCTGCAGCTTTGCTAGCCTAAAGGGCCCAGTGTTGGCTCCTGACTGCAGTTCTACATGGAGGCCGCAGGCAGTGAGAGGAGCAGCAAGAGAGTTGCTTAGTTATATAAAATAGGGACACTGGTACCTCCCTCATAGGGCTGCTTGGGTTTTTGGCCTACAGTTAAGACCTTAATAAATATTAGTGGTGGTAGTTATCATTATTACAATAAATCCCACAGTCTAATGGAGGAGGGTTGAAAATATACTCCTCATAATCTTAGTAACAATAATGATGAGTCCTTCTCGCCTTCCTCCCTTCCCCCAAAGATAAAGAATACACCAACATTATCCCAGAACATTTATTTCCAGAGGTTTTTCATCAAAGGGCACAATCTTGAATAAAATTATACCACTATACCTAAAAGCAACCCTACGCAGTAAGCAAAATCTGCCCTGACCCCTTTTACAGAAGAGAAACTTCAAAAAGGCATTTTCCATCTCCTGACAGTTTTACAATATTCATACCTTCTATGCCCTTCAAGTCTCATCTCTTATTTTCTAACTTCTTTAACAGAAATGTGTGTTCACAAGCTGTGTGTGTGCACATGTGCCTGTGTGTACACAAAAGGCTCATTTTTACCTACTTGATAAAGGAGTTGAGACAATGTTTTGGAAAAAAAAATGTTACTCCAATACGATGGCGAAGGCAAGCTAAAAAGGCTTCATGCTAGAGCCGGCTTTCTGCTCAAATTCCTACATCCTAAAAATGTCCCTGTGGGGGGCCTAAAAATTGAAATCCACTGGGTTCATGGCCTTGAGTTCACTCCTGTCCTGAATTTCCCCAGTGCAAGTCCAAAAGGGCGAGATGTGGCAGAAAGAAGGTGGGAATGTGTGAGCCTCCCACAGTCAGCTCACAGTGCAGCTTGCACTCAGAGAGGAGACTCAGGGACACAAGGTCTCAGGATGCACAGTTCACCTTGGCCTCATGTGCCTGGGCTGGGGAGAGGGAGGCTATTCAATAGCCTGTGCTTGGCTGGGTGCAGTGGCTCACGCTTGTAATCCCAGCACTTTGGGAGGCTGAGGCGGGCAGATCACTTGAGGTCAGGAGTTTGAGACCATGGTGAAACTCCATCTCTGCTAAAAATACAAAAATTAGCCAGCTGTGGTGGCGCACAGGAGGCTGAGGCAGGAGAATTGCTTTAACCCGGGAGTCGAAGGTTGCAGTGAGCCGAGATTGCACCACTGCACTCCAGCCTGAGTGACAGAGCAAGACTCCATCTCAAAAAACAAAAAAACCCAAAACAAAAGCCTGTGCTTTAGACCTGACTCTTTAGCCTTGGTTTCTCCCAGTACCTTCACTGGGTCTTAGGAACTTTAATGCTCAAAACTAATCCCTGTGCCCCAGGAACTCCATCATGAACCTCAAGAGCCCTCCTGAAGGTATTCAGTCAGTGACTTCAGTCTGACCACGAGCCACCTGCATAATTCCACAGCCCTTCTTGGCATCTCAATGGGGAGTCATGGTTCCTTGCCATGTAGAGTATAGCCTGCTTTAAGAAAAGGAGAAGGTGGGTAGAGGAAGCTGAGGCTGCTGTGCAGGTCACTGCCAAGTCCTGGCATGGGGTCGAGTGAAGTTCTGTGGGAGGGGTTGGGCTCCGGGGGACCCTCTTAGGCAGATGCCTTTGCTGCTTCCCGAGCCTGGAACTCCTGTTTCGCTTTCTCCCTCTGTTCCTGCTCTCTCTGGATCAGGCGTACACGGTCTAGATGCCACCGCTGCAGTTGCTGCTCATAGGTGGCGATGTCCTCTGCTTCACAGGTGGAGAGCTTTTCCTTCACAAGCTGCGTGGTCAGACTTAAAAGACTTTCTGACTCAATTTTTCCCAGATCCTGAAGTTTAGAATATAAGGCCTGTTGGAAACAAAGGGAAAAAAGAGAAGAAAGGTAGAGAAGTGAGAGAAGGGTACAAAGAGGAAGGATGAAGCCACCTGCAAAATATCTGCAAGTTTTGCTTGTAGAAAAAAAACATTTTGTTAGGAAATTGTCATGCTGCCTTTCTTCTAGGTGCTATTAGCTTTTGCTGTGTTTTTCAGCTCAGCAGTTTTGTTAAGATGCAACACGTGATTTCTCCCCTTTCACACACAAATAGTAAATGGAACTCCATATGCTGTGTCTCCCTGTGTTTTAAACCACAAAGACAGTCAGGCTGTAACAAATCTATGTTTCCATCCTGACTTAAACCAAACCAAGCAGCAAACTCTAAGAATAAGAATTCTAATATGCAACAAAATGGCAGAGGCATCTGGTAACTGGAGCAAGCCCATCCGTACCTGTGCCTTCAGAATAACTGAAACAAATATTTGCCTTCCTGGCATTCCTCTCAACAGATGGATATCAGTTCAAGGAACAGCTCCCCTGAGTGCCTGCACTGTTGGAGGCGTCCACCTGCTGTGCTCCAATGCAGGTCAGCCTTTACGCACTGCCTGCTTACAGCTTCATCGAAATGGCAGCTTGGTTTGGTTGGTGTTCTGTTCCTGGAGAAGTAAGTATTCAAACATTAATCTATTTAAGTACTTCAAGATGCACTCTCTCATTAGAGAGAGCCACTTATGGGCCCAGCTGTAGCTTATACCACACACCCCCATGTTCCGCAAACAAATGCCACTCATTGGCACAGGGGAGGAGGCTTGCTCCAGTAACAGGGTTGGGGGTGGGCAGGGTGCCTAGGCTCCAGAAGGGGCCAGAGGCCTAATGTGAGATTCAGTCATATAAAAATGGCTCCCAAACAAATGGCCTCAGACTAATAAAATTCAGGCAACGGGAAGAAAAGGATATGTAAAACGAAAATGATTTCTCTCTGATATCACTCTCCATGTGGTTTGAGGCCAACAAGACAGCTTGGGATGCCAGAATGAGGACTCAACTGTGAGTCAGCAAACTTTTGTTCAAATCAAAGTCAGTCACTATGGGCTAGTTTTTCTCGGCTTTGCTGTCATCTAACATGAGAAAGCAGTCTCTAGCATCCACAGCTCTTGCGAGGAGAAATGAAATGCACTGGTGCCCAACACACAGTTAGGAGTCAATAAACATTTGTCTTTTTTTTTTTTGATTTTCATAAAAATACATTTGTAGAGGAATAGGGCTGAGAACTTAATGCAGGCACAGGTTTCTATTCTCTGAGGCAAAGTATGCAAGAAACAAGAGAAGGAAGTTTTAATTTTTAGGAATGATGTGGCAACCTTGGTCAATGTGACTGCAATGAATCATAGTACATGGGACTAAGTAGATTTTTTTTCTTTAGCTTTTCCAAATATACAAGGTTAAGCAAACAGCTTGAAGGGGAAGGCATGCAAATTCTCAGCCCCGCTATACTGCCAGTTCTCCAGGTACCTTGGGAACATTGATTAACCTTTCCTTCTCAGTTTTAAATTATAAGAGGGAAGTTGAGCAATGACTTTATAGAAGTGCTGGGAGAAACTGCTGCTAAAAATACAACAGGATCCCCCTTCCAACACTGGGAAATAGGTCCAGTCTAACTACTGAAAAGATTTAAACACAATAATCTAGCAAAGTTTACATCTTATCAGTACCAAAGTGACACAACAAGTCACACACAACAAATGGGAACGTTTTTTTGCTCTGTACAAAGAATTCCCATTCTGGCAGCACATTTTTTTCCCTTTGCACTAGACAAAAATCAAAGCAGCTAAGAAGCCAAGCATTTAAACGTTGAACATGGTTCTTTCCTGACACTGATCACAGAGCATTTTGGGATGTATAGAGTTAGAAGCTACCAAAGGTGGCTTGAGTGCTCAGGGCTGTTCTGGAAAGAAAGAGTCAAACTGTTTACAGCTTCCATGCAGTATAAGAGAACAACATAAAGCTGCCAAAGGTGAGCAGAGAAAGATGCCTGCGTCTTACCTCTACATACTCAAATGTGGCATTATAATGTCTAACTGGGTTTCTAGGTTATCAAGCACATTTAGTGTAAGATGGAGAAATGGCCACTTTCCACCTGGGGTGGGAGTCAGGTTATTGCTATGAGGAGGCAAGCAACTATCCAGCCAAAAGGCACAGCATATCAGGAATGAGTGGGTAATGACATGCTACCTTAGTGAACAAAACTGACCGATTTGCTCAAGTACAAAAAGGAGCATAAAAATTCCATTGGTTTAAGACCACTTCCTGTGCAAAGCAATAAAAATGTAATTTTTGATGTCAGTTTTTAATGCCTCTTTGTGTGTGACATTGATGCACGAAAAGAATGCTTATCCATCACCACAGGAGAGGAGTGTTTTACGCACTGCTGAGGAGACACAATCCTGCTATGACTCACCTTAAACCGTTCCAGGTATTGAGGAAGCTTGGACTGTTCTGTTTCCTCCATGTCTAACTGCTCCACCAGTTTTTCTGACTCCTGGTTGTCTTCACCTTTTTGGGACTGTTCCTCTGACGCCCCATCAGCCGGAGAAGTCAGCACCTTTAGCACAGCATCCAGCACATCGAGCTGTGGAGCAGAAAGAGGGTCAGCAACTACATGTCTTATGGCCCAAAAGCACATGGTGAAGAGAGACTGGAGAAGGCGAAAGGAAGGAAGAATGAGCTCTAAAAAACTGTGAGAAGATTGCTCTTATAAAACTGAAGGAAATAAAAATGGTCATATTTTTTCACATTATAAACACCCTATCAGATGGCATCAAAAATAGTACAAAACAAATAGTATAAATAAGCAAGCTGGGCTGGGTATGTTGGCTCATGCCTGTCATCTCAGCATTTTGGGAGGATGATGTGGAAGGACTACTTGAGCCCAGGAGTTTGAGACCAGCCTGGGCAACATCGGGAGACTCTGTCACTAAAAAAAAAAAAAAAAAAAAAAAAAAAAAAAAAAAACATGGGGGTACAGCCCTGTGGTCTCAAGAGGCTGAAGTGGGAAGACTGCTTGAGCCTTGAGCCTGGAGGCTGAGGCCATAGTGAGCCATGATCACATCACTGCACTCCAGCCTGGGTGACACAGTGAGGCCCTGTCTCAAAGATCAAGCAAGAACAAAATACCAAATAAGTGAGCTAAGAATTATTTGTGTAAGTGAATCAGCACAATGGCAGCTAAGTTCACTTTTAGTTAGCCAGGCAGGAATCCAGGAATTATGCTTGATGGGGTAAAGTACTTCCCCCTTCCATGTCTTTCTTGCTCAATCAGTTTGGATTTGGGACAAAGGGATAGATCATTATAGACCACAACCAACCAAAGGCCATTTTAAGTGTATGTTAAAGCCTCTGGAAATAAGCAAGGGCCCCCACTCAGAGAAAGATTTTAGCTCACACGGTATATGTAAATTAAGGATCAGTGTAATCCACATAAGCTGCTGGCAAAGACCAGAAATCTATATATGAAATTCATTTGAGTGAGGTAATTTCTGTGACTTAGGAAGTAAATTTAAAAATGGAGGGTTTCTTTTTGTTCTGACCCCTCTCCCCTCCACTCTTACTTTGAGGCACACCTCCCTTGACCCACGGAGGGCCTAATTATCAGAAATGGGATATTAGCAAGAGCAAGGCCAGCAGAAACACCTGCCTGGAAACCAGTTAAATCCTGTCCATGTCACATCAGAACAGAAATCCTGAAAATACGCCAGGGCCTTTTAATACCACTAATATATTACAGCCAAACTGGACACATAGCACATTCTTGCCGACATGTAAACTCATTTTCTACTGTTAGAATGCAAAGAATGCAAATCTGGCTCAGATTGGAAGGAATATTTCCCTGGAAAAGGATTTATGTATAATTTTGTATTTTCAATCACCAGTACTGACTACAGCAGGGTTAAAACAAGTATACTGAGACATGTACATCCTTTATCCTTTGTTATAAATGTCTGGCAACCAGCATAATGATTCACTAGACATAAGTATAAGGTGACAGTACAGACACCAGACCTGACCATCTCAGGGCTGAAATGAAAGCCTAGGGGTAAGCCCTAGTAACCAGAGTCAAGACAAAACAAATATGTGGCTCTATGGTAATGTTTACACCATGGTAACAAGACAACCCATGTCCTTCTAGGCCTCATACTGGCTGTAAAAGCTGCTTGGACAGGAGCAGACACTGCAGCTGCCTGTGGGATGTAAGGCTCGTCATGTCTCCTGGAGTTCAAGCAACCCCATATTGTCAAGGGTCCTAGGTGACCAAGAGGCACAACATTTGGGGCTGGTGGGAGGGTAGTGTTCTTGTCCTGGTAAAGTGAACACCTTAGAACTTTGAAAGGAATATCTGACCCAGATCTCAGCATCACACATTCACACAGAATGGTTTAAGATGGTTCCATCTCTGGACCCAGATTCATTTCTTTTATGGAGGACTTTTATGGAGAAAAATGCTATGTATCCTTTTGGGACTACATGGGGGTACAGAAACACCAAACATATTTAAAATGAAATTTTACCCTCTCTTAAGTTCCCACTGAGATGTTTCTAGGTAAGAGGTGAGGGACGAGGCAGTGGAATAGTTTTTTCCCTAGACAATGAACTATAAATCAATGTTAATCATATTTTCTAGTGCCTTTGGTCAGGAGCATTGAAAATGTCTGTGGTTTTTCATTTTTTCAACTGGCTAAGTATTTACTCTACAGAAATAAAGAAAGTGGGGGTAGGGGAAAGACAAAACAAATTCAAGTTCAGGTTATGGGAAACAGATGGCTAAATCTCACTATATTAGTCTGAGGAACATACCGCTTCTCTACACAGCTTTATGTCTTCTGGGGAGGCAGCTACTTTCTCCATCACTTGAAGGGCTCTGTCAAGGTAGCCTGGCTTCCATATCAGAGGCATGTTGTGGTACACAGCCCGTAGCCCTTGCTGCAATTCCACCTTCCCTGTGGCCAGAAAGAACAACAAAGAATGTTCAGCCATGTCTTCCTACCATTTCTAAGACTGAGGACCTGAAGGCCCAAGTGAATATTCCACCTAGCAGCTCTAGAAGCAGAGAAGGGTCGCTTCTAATCTGTACCAAGAGACTCATCCCATCCAGTGACATTTCAGATGTATAATGAAGAACGTGGTAAAATTCACTGTATCCATTTTTTAATATAAAATTAGATGAACTTGTTTCTCTTCTTTCTCATTTGGGCTGGTGGAGATTTTCATGAAGATGTATAAACCACTGGGGTGAGGGCAATTCAGAAGCTGACATATATGCCTTTAGGTAAGGATACCCTTAAAAAACAAGTCAACTGAGATACAATTTTTGTTTCAAAAACAAAATCTTCCCCAGAAAAAGAAATCCCACAAAGTTCCTACTGTGAAAATCTGGTCAACCCTCTGACAACTTTCCCTGCTAGGAAATGTTTGACATTTTTTGAAATCCTTCAAAACACCCAATCTACTATCCTTATAAAAAACCCTCATCTTTCCCTTCTTTCCTTTGAGTTTCATCAGTTTTAAAATCACAGAGTTCTCATGATCCCTTCGGATCTCTGGACATGAATGCTTCTCTGGGTACCTCAAGCCATCACACTTGGAGTTCAAGTGGTGGACACCAGACAGCAGGGTCTTCTGGTAGGGAGATGGCTGTCTGTATTCCTGTGGCGTAGAACCTCTCTGCACTAATGACCAAAGTCACCTTGAGCTGCCCAGTCTTAAATCCACCTTCTTTTATCTTTCCTCGGAAGGAGGATTGGGGAAAGCCAGAGTAGGACACAAACAGACAAAGCTTATCAGGCGACAGCTAATTTTAGACCTTTAAGGTGCTTGGGGCTGGACTGCAGTTACATTCTGGGCAGCTGCTTCCATCAGGGTTGAGTGAGGCTGCATAGCATATGACACAATGAGAGCAAAGAGCTTCTGATCTGATGGTTGCCATCACAAAGAACCAGAGCCTCGGCTCACAAACAACCACAAAGTACGTTTTCTTTGCCCTGTCAACTTCTAACCAATCCAGGCTGTATGACAGTCCTGAATGCTAATCTGAAAGCAAAGGAAAATGCACGTAAATCAATATTAAAAGGAGGTAGCAAATAAGGAAAAAATGATTTTTAAAAAGAGTGGTCAACTCCTTTGTTAATCTGACAGTCAATAACATCAACTTCAAAAGCAGTCAAACTGCCATAACTTTGTGATTTTCAAAAAACAAAGGTAGCAGAAGCAATGTATAATTGAGGGATGCCTAATTACTTATGACATGATGGGGCAGTAATAAAATAATATGCATTTAATAAACCTTCTGTAAATAAGGACAACATTTTATGTACATTTAGGTTGAATCTTTTTTTTTTTTTTTTTTTTTTTTTGAGAGAGTCTCTCTCTGTTGCCCCGGCTGGAATGCAGTGGTGTAAACTCAGCTCACCACAACCTCCTCCTCCTGGCGCAAGCGATTCTCCTGCCTCAGCCTCCGGAGTGGCTGAGGCTACAGGCACACACCACCATGCCCAGATGATTTTTGTATTTTTAGTAGAGACAGGGTTTTGCTATGTTGGCCGGGCTGGTCTCAAACTCCTGACCTCGTGAGCCACCACGCCTGGCCTAGGTTGAATCTTGTTTGCCCAGATTCCATACAACCCAGATTCTGAGGCCACTCTTCGGTAGGCTTTGTCCTCTTAACCTGTCTGATTTGCAGTGGAATCAGGGCACAAAAGGAAAGCCACCATCGTACCTCCTGGTGCAGTTACACGGTACCCATGAGCTATTCCGCTTTTCCTGAAGTGCTCTACTTGTGCTCTCAGTTTCTCTTCCCTAAACAGGGTTAGAACGTCCCTTTCTTTATCCCTTCTTCACATTGATTGCCAATAAATATTATTATCTATGGCCACCAGAACTAGTTCTTGCTTTACCAGTGGTGACAGATTTTAAGAACACTTTTTACTCTCTTATGGAGTAACTGTAAGGCCATCAAGGTCTATTTTTATGTCTAAAAATGAAGGCTAATTGGATTTCACTGGTAAACTTAAATCAAATTATAATTTTATTATGAACTAGAAGAATGCAATAATTCTGCCGAAGAACAATATTTGTAAGGATCTTTTAGCTTACCAAGAAGTGCATAGCCATATAACTGGGAACTGAAACCCACTGAGTTTTTCTGTTTCAGACCTGGAAGCAATAGGGATGCACCGAAGTTCCTCTCCTCTTCCCACTGCAACAGAATATACCGGATCATGGTCCATCCAAACAATGAGTACTTTATACAAAAATGGGACTTTTAACGACATGAGGAAAAGAACATGTTATAACATTAAGTAAACAAAGAAGAACAAAACTATATATACATTATAATCCTAATTTTGTAAATAAAAGGTACTTATGTCTAAAGAAAAATATAGGAAAGAAATACTCTAGATGTTAATGGATTTTTGGGTAGTAAAATTATGAGCAATTTTGGTTTTCTTTTCTGTATCTTTTATTATTTTCCAAAAATTTGGCAATGAATAAGCATTTCTTTTACAGTCAGAAAAGCAAAACAAAACAAAACAAAAATAAAGAGTACACCTTAAACCAACAGTCACTTGAGACAATCAGTAAAGGTTCAACATGCATGTCAGCCCCATAGTCATTCACACTGCTGTGGCCTGATGGAGCAAGCTTTTGAATTTTAAACAATTTAGCAATGATAAGACTTCTTCAGAGTGTTACAATAAATACCACAATTTGTGCCTATCAAAAACAAATTAGGCAATCAGAAACACTTAGTGATCGTTTCTTTCAACCCAGGGTGCAAAATTACGCTTCAATAAAATCGAAGCCTTTTGAGACGGCAGAGAAACAAAGGGCAAAAATGCAAGCATTGCTAAACCTGCTGCAGACTAGTAACGATGACTAGAAGACCTGCTGGCAATGCGGCCAGGGGAGAGCCTTGGCAAATCCCCAGTGGGATCTGTGATCTTCTTGGTCCCACATTAGTATACACTGACCAGGGCTGGAGCCTTAACTCTGGCTTCAAAACACAGAACAATAAGCTCAGGTTGCCCTGCACTGGTTTCTGTATCCAGAGATTAGGGAGAACAGAGAAGGAATAATGTCTGTAGGCTGCAAGTGCAGCCACGTGCAAGTGAGGCACCCCAGGTGTTAATAAAAGCACCCAAACATCTTTACTGTGAATAGCTTTTGTGCAATACAAGTGTCATTTCTTGAGGTTATTTCCCAATCTTTGAGGAAAGCAAAGACCTCGGGAGAAAAACAAAACTCCCCCGCAAGCATTTCCGCAGCACAGGTAAATAAAAGAGCTGATACTTAAAAACCAGGTCATTTTACTTTCAAAAGCAAATCACTCTAAGAAGTTTGATTCTCCCCACCTAAAACTGCACGAAGAGTGGGGCGCGTGAATAATAAATAAGGAGGCTTAAAAACATGATTTCCTCCCCATAGGGAAAAACATGAGCAAGAGTATCAGGATGTAGTAGGGGTTAAAGTCAAATGAACACTACAATATCTAAGCAATAGATATCTTTGATGTGTTAGGAGTCCAGCAAGGGTGGCGATACTTCTAAAGGACTTCAGAAAAGATGAATGAAAACAAACAGATGACTGTCTTAGAAATTTTCTGATCATTGTCTGGGAATGCTGCAACTACTGCTGCTTATATGAAGCTATTTATGTGTCAACATAAAATAACAGATCTCTTCCAAGCCTTTAGTTTCTTTTCTATTTTTTTTCTTTGGAGACAGGGTCTTGCCCTATTGCCCAGGCTGGAATGCAGAGGTGTGATCACAGTTCACTGTAACCTCAAACTCATGGGATCAAGGGATCTTCCCACCTCAGCCTCCTGAGTAGCTAGGACTACAGGCATGTGCCACCATGCCTGGTTAATATCTTTTTTATATTTTCAATTTTTGTAGAGATGAGGTCTTGCTATGTTGCCTAGCCTGGTTTCAAACTTTTGACCTTCAGCAATTCTCTTGCCTTAGCCTCTCAAAGTACTGAGATTACAGGCATGTGCCACTGCACCTGGCCCAAGTCTTTAATTTCTATTGTAGATACTATAATGGACTAATTCAGGTACAGTTTCATCAATGCCCTCAAAGTTTTCCAGTTTCATGCTTTGCCTCTTCTATTAATACAAAGCAAATCCTCATTCTCCCATCTTTCCCTCTTTACTCTCTACTTCATAGCTAGACATCCAAAAGAGTTGTCTATACCTCTAAATCATTCTACAAACCACTCCGATTTGGTTTCCTGCTCCATTACTTTTAAGGAAACAAGGTTACAATTTAGTGCCTCACATGCCACTAAATGCAATGAACTTTTTTTATTTCTCATTTTACCCTACCTCTTTGGAAGCATTCTACATAGTAGACTGTGTCTTCCTATGGATTCTGTGGCCCAACACATTCCTGATTTGCCTTCTTTTTGCTTTCTGGCTCATTTGCCAACATTTACTCATGGATATAAGTCTCCAAAATTATATCTCCAGTTCATCTTTCCATTAAGCCCCAGTTCCTTGGTGAAATCTCGTGACTGTCTCAAATGAATTTCAACATGCAACATGTTCAGAGCCACATTAATGATTTTTCTCAAAATATCCAGTCTTTTCCCAAAGTTCCCTTTTGCAGACCATGGAACCCCTTCCATCCAGATGTATAAGTCAGAAACTGAGGAGAGAATATGTGACCCCTGCTTCCCTGCCTCATCTTGTTATTTACCTCCCAAATATGCCCACTGGCTACTCTCTAACTGCATCACATCCTACTCTCTATGCTACATTATCCCTTGTACAGATTCATGGTGGCCTCTCAAATGGTCTGACCATAGCCATCCTTGCCCTGCTCTGATAGCTTATCCAGAGTACGCCAGAAGGACCTTATCAAAACAGATTTGATTATTATATACCCTCTGTTTCAAACTTTTCAAGGGTTTCTCGCAATTTTTAGCATGAACACAAAATGGCTCAGTATGACCTACATTCTCCAGCCCTATCTCACTCCACATCCTCCCTACCATCTTCTGTTGTAACTACATTGACTTTCTTCTTCCAGGCCATTTCTGCTCACTCAGTTTTCTGCCACAGAGCATTTGCACATGTTATTTTCTCTTTTTGGACTGTTCTTCCCCTACTTAGCCAGCCAATTACCAGTCATCCTTCAAATAGTAACCTAAGAAATATTTCCTTAAGGAAGCCATTCCTAACCAATTTAAGTTTAAAATACAGACAAAACTCCCTATAATACAGTCTTTTCATAGATTTCTCCTTTGGAGTGCTCGTAATAGTCGCAGTTTTATACCTGTGTGATTGTTTCATTTAAACATCTGTGTTCTTCCTAGATCGTAAGTAGGAAGTGTTTGCTCACCATTATATAGCTAGCACTTGCCAATGTATGGAATTTGTATGTGTTCAATATAGTGTATCTAATGAATTAATAATGAATGTGGGGTATACTGTAAGACTGTGACACTCAAAAGGGCATAACATGCCACTTACTCTTTACAATGTGGGCTAGACTAAATGACCTCTTCAGTTCCTACCCAAACTGGGATTTTTTTGATGTTACAACTGAGTTTAAGGGCAGATGGCAGAGGCAGACTGCCTGGCTTTACCAGGTGGCTTTGTTATCTACTAGCTGGGGGGTTACTCTGTAACATCTCTAGGCCCCAGTCTCCTTATCTGCCTAGAGTTGTTGTGAGAATTAAGTGCATTAATACATTTATAACAAGAACATAGCCTGGTGTAAAGTAAGTGCTACATAAAATATCAGTTATTGCTGTTGTTATTCTTAGGACAACAATAAACAATGATTAAATACTCAAACCTAAGACCTGAAACCAAAACTTGATATTCCAGACTTTCCAAAACGGAACTGCCCTAGAGCAACCTTAGGAAAATACTGATACAAATGAAATAATCAGTATTTCATACCCCAGGTAATGAATGGTCAACATTAGCTGCCTCACTGCCTCTGTGACATGCCATGTCCAGCTCTCAATGATTACCAATGACCCGTTTCTGAATGTCTGAGGTGCACTCAGCTTAGCTCAAGTTTCAAAATATGCACAAGGACTTTCTTTTGAGATTCTCTCAAGTGGAAGAACAACCAATTCCATTAGTTGGAAACCAGTAACTAAAATGTATAGCATGAACACTCATTCCTGGTTGTGCCGGCAGACAGCTTTTTCTAGCTTTTGAGAGCAAGCCCCTGCTTGCCTTTTCTAAAGTTCTTAATACGGCTTTTGGGAACATCACTTACACTGAAGTCTGTCTTCTTTGCCAGGCAATGAAACAAAACATAGAGGGAGAGAAGTTGGGTGGAAGGCACTTCAAAGGCTTCTTGCATCATGACCTCAAAAACCACAGATAAAGCATCTAGCAAGAAGATGAAAGTAAAATGAGAGAAAATTAGTTGTAGGTAATATTACCAAATCTTTATTTGACTATAAACAGTCTTAAAAAGTGGGGCATGGTTTAAAAAAAAAAAAAGGCAGAATTAAGAAGTAAAATATGTGGGCTCTGGCCCTAGCTCTTCCACAAACTAGGTTTTTCCTAAGTCTTCAGCTTCTATTTTACATACCACAAGGAACTAGATCAGATGCTACTGCACCAATGTCCTGAAGGACATTAAATAAACCACTCATTTCTCTTGGCCCCCAGTATCATCTTCATAATAATAAAATACTATTTGCTTTATCTACTTCAAAGGAATTTTGGACAGTTCAATAAGATAATACATATGAAAATGGCTCATACTGTGATACAAGTTTAAGGCATCATACCTTTTAGCTAGAAGAGCTAAGGCATAAAGGAGAAACATATATTCTCAAGGTCACCCTGACAAGCAGAGCAGAGAGGCTGGTCTGACTGCTCTATTCTCTGCTCTGGTACCTTTTCACTGTTAAGGCAGAAGAGGACAAAACACTAAAGGAAAACCGAAATCTCAGATATTATTTCAAAGAAAGCAAAATAATGACTATAAAAAGGACCATAAGGCTCAGTTTATAATGCTTGTTGGAAGGGAATGGGAAATGTTCATTCATAAATTATAAGCCCCTGAGTATAACATATAACATATTTGTTTGCACATGAATTCTGGTCATAGGAGTGCAGGCTTGCAATTTTTATTTTCTCTTGACATTCTACAACATAAATGGAGGCCAGGAAAATCAAGTCAAACAATTTCTTTTCTGTAGTTATTTGGTGGTAAAGTAGAGAATATTAACAATGACTTGAAATATAGAGCTTGTTCATATCACAAGCACAACAAATGTTTTTGACTGAGTTATTTTTTTAACCAATTTTTACATATATTCATAATTATAAAATAGCACTGATTTACAGCTGTTCCTAGCCAGCTGTTTTTGCACATGTTGTCAAGGTTCTGAATGAGGCCACAAGCATGAATTGCTATGTTCTTTCTGCAAATGGGGAAACTGAGATAGACAGGCAGACCAGGTAGTCAACTAATAAGTCAACAGAAAAATAAGAACCTGGAAGGGATTTTCTTTTACATAAACAAACAGACCAGTAATATTTTAAAAGAGCATAGGCTCAAAATTCAGTTAAAAAAAAAAATCTCATTTCTGCCAACTGTTCATTACTGAAGCCAAAATTATACTTGAAAAATAAATTTACTTTATCCTTTATTTGTATTCTGGATTTCAGCCAGTTTGGGAAGTGAAATTAGATTGGCCTGTATAATTAACTTACTTTTCCTCTATAATCATTTATGTACTTTGATATTTTCTATCTCAGCAAAAATAAAAAGAATAATATTTTTAAAAATTTTGCATAAATGACAATCATCAAAACTTTTCTGACTAAAAGAGTGATGAAGAGATGTTATTAAGGAATAAGAAAGGGGAAGGTCTTACATTTGTACACCTCCCTTTGGGAGTTGGAAGCCCTACACACGGAATCTGGGCTTAGTTTCTTACCTTCGTAATTTTCTTTCTCTATGAAAGAATCCATCAGTAAATTGAATGTAAAGTTATCTGGAAAAATTCCATATTGAACCTATAATGAAAATGAACATAGCAGGAAACAAAAGAGAAAATTATCTAATTTAGTCTGTAATGTATGCCTATGTATTACTCAGAATAAAACTTGCCACCATTAGCTTTAAAATATTTGACCATCCTTTTACAGCATCTGTAACAGTGAAATAGAAGCCAGGACTCATGAGGTATGGTAACCGGAACTGCTGGTCAGAGTGAGAAAGTTTTGAGTGGGTGTCTGATATGAGAATTGATATGTAAGAAATAAAGCCCCAATTCTAACACCTCATCATAGCTTTAAAAAAAAAAAAAAAAGAAAGAAACCCATATAAGCCCCCAAACAGTTCAGTGGCTTTTATAAAGTATGAATAACAATGCCAAAACAGACTTTCATGGGAAAGCAGACATTACACAGCATTTTCTGGTTCTTAGTTTGGCTTTTAAGGTCCCAAGAAATATGCCAACAAATATTTACTCCAAATTTTCTAGAATATTGTATCACACAACTCAATATTTGAGAATTCAGATTTCTTAAAATGTGGATCCCTTTAGCAACTGCAGAATATAGATTTTCTAGGAGCTGATAAATTCCTACGTCTTAGACCTATAGAATCAGAATCTCTGGGAATTGGGCACAGAAACCTGAAATTTTAGTGAGGTTCTTGTGATTTTCATGCATACTCATTTTACTACCAATGATCCAGATTATGGCTGCATTTTTATTTGTTTCAAATTCTTCAGTAAGGTCAACTACCATACACTACAGGGCTCCATTCTTCCCTCTTGCAACCAGTAGAAACACCTGAGGAATTTTTCCAAATTATATCCATATCCCCTTGGGAGGTTTTTATACAGTCCTAACACCTGAATTGTGAATCACTGCTGAACTGATTCACTGTTTCCAGGAGTTATATATAGGAGTCTCTGGTGTGCTGAAATGAAAAAATTGTCTAAAAACCACTGTTTTATAGGTTGTAGCTCATGGCCAGTGTCTACATTTCTCAAAGCAGTCATCCAAATCAGTATTAATCCCTAAGGCAGGGTAAAAACAAAATATTTTAGGATGATAAGTCATTAAAGCTGAAAGGGATTTTAGAAATCAACTGGTCAGTAACTCTCAACCCAGGCTGTAAATGAGAATCAAATGAGAGCTTTAAAAAACAAACAAACAAAACCAATGAGGGATGAATAGGCAGGGCACAGAGGATTTTTAGGGCAAACTATCCTGTATGATACTACAATGATGGGTACATGTTATTATACATTTGTCCAAACTCATAGGAAGTACAACATCAAGAGTGAACCCTAATGTAAACCAGGGCCTTTGGGTGACAAAAGTTTGTCAATGTAAGCTCATCAATTGTAACAAATGTACCACCCTGGAGCAGGATGTTGATTATGAGGGAGGCTATGCATGTGCTGGGGCAGGGAGTATGTAGAAAATCTATGTACTTTCCACTCAGTTTTGCTGTTGAAGGAAACAAAAATATTTCTCCCCAAAATAATTGAGGATGTTCAGTTAAAGACACTGAAAATGCAGGGGAACACTCTTCCTTAGCCTCCATTTGCCTGATGGCAGCACATAAATTATTCCTTCCTAGAACAGCACTTGCTTCTCAGCCCAGAGAAGGTACCAGCAGGAATCAGAGGAATCTGAGAACACATTTTACTAACTTCCCACATTTTCCCACCTTTAAAGACTGGAACTTTTTCCTCCTTTGTCTTGTCACTGTATAGGATTTATGGCTCTTGGTTGAAATACTATTTCAGCAAGGCCCTACACTACTGCCTTGAGACAGAAATGCTTTTGAACTGATGTCTTTCCTGTGTGATGAGTACAGCATGTGTTAATAAACTTTTGCTTGTTTTTCTTTTGTTAATCTGACTTGTTTTCAGCAGAGCATCTCAACTAAGAACCTAAAAAGGGAAAGAAAATAAATTTCCTTCCCTTCACTGTGAACCCAAAACTGATCGAAAAATTTAAACTTATTTAAAAAAAATTAAAATTCCGGCCGGGCGTGGTGGCTCAAGCCTGTAATCCCAGCACTTTGGGAGGCCGAGGCGGGTGGATCACGAGGTCAAGAGATCGAGACCATCCTGGTCAACATGGTGAAACCCCGTCTCTACTAAAAATACAAAAAATTAGCTGGGCATGGTGGCACGTGCCTGTAATCCCAGCTACTCAGGGGGCTGAGGCAGAAGAATTGCCTGAACCCAGGAGGCGGAGGTTGCGGTGAGCCGAGATCGTGCCATTGCACTCCAGCCTGGGTAACATGAGTGAAACTCTGTCTCAAAAAAAAAAAAAAAAAAAAAAAAAAAAAAAAAAAAAAAAAAAAAAAATTAAAATTCCAATGCCTGGGCCCCAGACAGATCAATTAAACTAGAATTTCAGTAGCAGAGGCAAACATCTACAATTTTTAAAAAGCGTCTTGGGTGATTTCTAACTCTGGCTGCCCTAATGAGCAGCCAGAGTTAGAAATCACCGATATACTACAACACCCTTGACTTAGAGTTGAAAAAACTAAGATCTAGAAGAATACAATTATTTGCCTAAAGTTGCCAGCAATCAGTGGAACCTGTGAGGCTACAGCCTGGATCTTCTGATTTCTAGTTTGATGTCCTTTCTACTAAAAGACTCAAGAAGCAGCAAAAATGAGACCCTCCTAGTTTTGTTATCATAGAAATCTTTGAGTGTTATCTGTGTCATTATACTCTAAACTGAAGAAAACAAGATTTAATCCATTATCCAGGGACCTAGCTCTCTTACTCCCTTCCTCACTTCCCCTTAACATACCTTATACCCCAGGCAAAAAGGCAATGTATTACTCTCAAACTGAGTCTTTGTTTTTGCCCAGTTATGCCTCTGCTAATACTGTTTGTGCCAGCCCATCTCCATGTGCAAGCATGCATCTTTTGGTGACCATCTTAAATGGTACCTCATGTCTCTTTTAATTATTTCCTTCCAATTGGATTCCCTCATCTTAATTCTCCAAGCTGTTTTTACTTTTTTTTTTTTTTTTGAGACAAGGTCTCATTCTGTTGCCCAGGCTGGAATGCAGTGGTCTCATCACAGCTCAATGCAGACTCGACCTCGTAGGCTCAAGTGATCCTCCTACTTGAGCCTCTAGAGTAGCTGGGACTATATGTCTTGAACTCCTGGGCTGATGCGATTCTCCCATCTTGGCATCCCAAAGTGCTGGGATTACAGGCATGAGCCACAGTCCCTGACCTTCACAAATATTCTTGCATGGCACTTACATTTGCCTAATATTAAATTTATAAGTAATCCTGCTTATCTGCCTTATTAAATTATAAGTTTCCTGAGGGCAAAGACAGAATGTTACTCATTTTTATATCCACTATCAATAACCAATGTCTCACAAACAAACTGTGCATAATATATATTAACTTGAATTGGACCAAAGTCATGGAAATAAAACTATTCTGCACAGAAGGGGGACCCAAAAACAAAATCAGTATTCCTTTTCAGTGCTAACTTTCAAGGTCCAGTGACATTACAGGCATAATACATTTTCATAAAAAGACTATTAAAATGTCTTTATGGTTCAAACTAGTGTTTAGCTTCAGACTCACAATAATAACATTCTAAAGTTCTGTTTATTTTATATTTACTATATACAGTAGGAAGGTAAGAAAGACTCAACTCTTGGGTGGTGTAAAAGTCAGAAAGATCCTAATCCTAGAGTGTTCTCAGGCTTGACAGGAGGAGTCAGGGACTCAAAAGACATAGGAGCAAACATGGTCAGGTTTTCCCCCTAAACTTCAGCAGAAGGAAACAGGCAAGAAACCTAAGGCTTAGCAATAAAGAATAAAATGACCACCAGTACACAGTTCTTCTGATTAGACTACCTTTTGCTTATTCCTGTCCTTTTCTGAGTCACTATGTTTAGAAAAGCAGCAGCTATGGGATTTAAAAAAAATTTATTAATGAACTTATACCCAGCCCCATTCTGTTAATAAGAAGGATATTTAAGGCCAAATAATTTTTAAAAGTTATTTCTGGTGTTATTCTTTGCTGTACCATAATAGGTACAAACACCATATCATCTAAACTCAGGAAAACAGGCTGCAGATCCACGGAACCACTCACCTTATTCACAAGGGTATATAAGGCTTTGTCTTGTGCATCGTATTTTAGACACTGCCTAATCCAAGTGTGGATAGTCCAGTTTCTCAGGTACCAGCTGTTGGGGCTGTGTCGAAATCTAAATAAGCACAAGAAGAGAGAAAACTGGTTTTAACTCTTAAATATCAAAACACATCTTCCATCAATAGGTTCTTCTCTTAGATATTTACCGAGTGTAATGTGACAGAAATTCATAAAAGTTAACAACTGACAAAAACTTGAGAATGAAACTCATTAACCACCAAGTCTGAAATGGTAAACAGAAGAGAAGGCAAACTAATAAATAACAAAAAAATTTTACCAAAATTGTATTCCTTATACCCCTTGCTTCAACATCTTATTTTAACAGAATTATGAAAAATGATTTGTGGAAAATACTAATCATGGCATTATATAAACAGATGTTTCATTAGAAAAGAGATGTGAAGCTTAAGCTGAAACTTTGGAAGTTTAAAACAGATGAAGAAAATGAAAAATAGGATAGCACAGCAACTCTGTAGAGGAGAATCAGCTTTGAGTAACAGTGGGATTTCTTTGGCTCTTAGGAGAGACTGGGATACTCTTCACTGAGTCAAAGGAAAACAGAGGAAATAAAAGAAATAACAGGAAACTAAGAAATAAAAGTTGAGTAAAACTTAACATTCATGCCCTCCAGGATCCACAATCCCACACTGTTCTTCCCAGCTCCACTGTAGCTTGTCAGTTTATCCCTTACTTCCTAGAGCTCCCCACAGGGTCTTAAAAGTCTGAAGCAGTCCAGGATGAGTTACATACAGTAATAGTATTCCCACAAAGGAATGGTGCTTGGAAAGGAATTCCAAATGCTGCTTTTGCCTGAGTTCACACACATTGCTAACACCTGGGATGGAAGCTGCTGCTCCTAGTTCCTGGGGTCCGTGACAAGACTCAGAGTAGAGATTGGGCTGTGAGATGGGGTGGAAAGGGCTCTGTAGTCCCTCTTTTTATTTATCTACTTTGATTAGGATGGACCCTCATATACTGTATCATGTTAGCTGAAGTCCCCATGTTTTCCTTAATCATTCAGGAAGCAGGCCAATTGCTGGGCCCCACAAACTAAGAGTTTAATCAAAGTCTTCTAAAAAAGAAAAAGGTGAGATAAAAACCTAGTGCTAAAGGAGTCCATGCCATGTTTGAGAGTCAAGGTACAGATGAATTGTAGTGGTTTTTAGAGGCTGATTATTCAGTCTGCTTCCTGTTATTTCCTGCCATCTGCTATTGGGATAGTTTCCTCTGAATAGGCTCTTTGCCAAAGTAATAGCTAAAAAAAGAAGAGGAAGTGAGAAATAGTATTTAATTTAGGATATCTATTAGTGCTCTGGTGACAGATTTGGCAAAAATAAGATCCAAAGATGTTTTATGGATTTAGGGTCTTCTAGGTCACCTGATTCTCTTAAATATTTCAGGTTTTGCTGGAAAATGTCTTTCTCTCTCTATTTTTCTCTACAAATTAGCCCATTAAAAATCAGAAATACGTCAAATTAAGTTTAGGATGAGAGTGACCTGGCCAGAGAAAGGCACAGTATAGGGGCCCTAGATCCTCAATCTTTAAGTTCCTCTGCAAAGAAATGAAACAAAATATACCTTTTAGTATTTCATGCTTTCGCTTACATTTGTTTTTATATTTGTATTTTTATTTTTTGAGACAGGATCTCACTATCGCCCAAGCTGGAGTACAGTGGTGCAATCCTAGCTCACTATAACCTCTAACTCCTGGGCTCAAGCAATCTTTCCTCCTCAGCCTCCCGAATAGCTGGGAGTATAGGTGCATGCCACTACACTCAGCTAATTTTTTGTAGAGATAGGGTCTCCCTATGTTGTCCAGGCAACATTTTCAAATCAATAGTTTAGCTACCTGATTCTTGTTTCTCTGAAAAATCTGAGATTTAAAATGAAATGACCAATTAAAAATTAGTTTAAATAAAGAAAAAAAGTCAAGTAAAATATCAGGTATACTGCCTCAATGATGGTGATGCCTCCTCATCAGCCTGTAAGTTCCTGGGTTAACAGAGACAGAGACTGACTTGCTCAATACTGATTCCTGTACTGACACAATTCTTGGCCCATAGGTTTTCGGCTAATAAAAAAAAAGAGCTTTAATCAACACTGGTATTAAATGCTAGTATGCACCAATCATTTTGTTAATGTCTATAGTATATATAAAGACACGTAAATTCCCTGTTTGGGGCATTTATAGTCTCATTACAAAAAAGATGCACACATAATTTAATAATAATAAATGGTGGGGCATGATAAGTACCAAAGACAAAAAGAGATTGCTGGAGGCTAAAGGGTTTTTTGGTAGTAGCAGTTGTTGGGTTTAGTCAATTTTTCCTTTAAAAAGACACAAAACAAAATATGATTTTTTTGGTAATGACTTCAGGAAAAAAGTATATCAAATGCCAATTACCACTCTCACTCAAGATTATTTTAGACTTAATCCTCATTTTAAATCTAAGTGTCTGGCTCAGGATGCTTCCAGTGACCACTAAAGTTGTAACTTTTTCTTTGATAATGAACTTTACAATAAGAACACCATGACCATATCTAACCAAACACCTTTCTCTTATTCATGATCAGCAGATCACTTTTAGGCTTTGAAAAATAACAAAGACTGATAATGAGAGCCTAGCTTTAGACCTTCAAAGCTCAAATTAAAACGTATTTTAAGCCATTTGCTAAGCTTCTAAGGCTAACTTCAACACATAGAAGAGCAGGAAAGTCTTTTCTTCTCAAAAGCCCTTCCTTCACAGACTTTCTCTCTTAGAAGCCTGAAGGGAAAGTTACTCAAGACTTCACACATTGAGTATAATCATCTCTGCACAGCAGCCCTTTGAGATATTTGTCAAGAGACTCAGAGAAGTCTAATAAGTCTCCTCCCTCTCCTATCCTGGGACAAGGCTACTTGGTATAAGCTCTGCTCTCTAAGCCCTAACAATCCTAGACCCAATTATGGTTAGGTCATTTTCTTTCTATTTTATAAACATTTTGAGAGATAAGGTCTCACTCTGTCACTCAGCCTGGAGTGCAATTGCAAGATCACAGCTCACTGCAGCTTTGAACTCCTGGACTCAAGCGATCCTCCTGCCTTTGCCTCCTTCTTTATTTCTGTAGAGACAGGGTCTTGCTATGTTGTCCAGGCTGGTCTTAAATTCCTAGCCTCAAGTGATCCTCCCACCTTGGCCTCCTAAAGAGCTGGGATTATAGGCATGAGCCACTGTGCTCAGCCTAAGACATTTTCAATGAACTCTCACAAGAAATATATTGAGGAATAGCAGTGAAATACACACATACCATAAAATGTGCTGCCCAAAGGGCAATTCCTGAATTTCCCACCCAGGCAGTAAATGAACTCCTTTCTAGGCCCCCATCAGCATTAAAAAGAGAAACTTATTTGAGTGGCTATCTGGAATATAAACAAGTCAAAACACTGGACCAGCAAGGTTCAATTTTGGATGGCAAGTTTGAGACAAATTCCTGTTGGTGACTTTTTAAGTCAACTAAACTTAAGGACTTCTCAACTTCCAGTAGTAATATGACAGGTGAGTGAGTCTTTGGAATGGGCACTTGCCTGGAATGATTCTGTGGACTGCTGGAAGAGCATTCTCCCTTTCTGCCAGGAGAAAGGCAAAGAGAAAAGAATACAACTAACACATTGATTTTCCAATTTGACTGCAAACAGACTGGCTTTTGTTCTTGCCTGCTCTGACCACCAGCCTGGCAGATTACAGACAGCCACTGTAGGAGTCCCCTCTGTGCGCCTAAGTCATCAGCTGTTTGCTCACCTCGACAGAAGCTTTATTATTGCTGAGGCCAGCAGGCTGTCAAAATAGGCAAACTGTGTGAGTGTAGGAAAGATTAACAAATACAACCCAAATAACCCCAACAAGGTTGTGTTCATGAAGGGTAAAGGTACTCTGAGCTTTCAGCTTATAAAATGCGAGTACACTTACAATTCCAAGGAAATGTGTATTTCTTGGAGGGGCACAAGAAAGAGTGACAAAGTGAACTCTCAAGTTCTAGCTCTAGTTCTAAAAGTTGGTATCCCATGGCTAAAGACATCTCTGTCCGCAATGCTGAGTAGGGTTTTCAGGTGAAGACAGAGCTTGCCTAGGAAGCCAAATCATGGCCAACCAAATGGCAGGAACTGAGAAGCTTCCTCTTCTCAAAACTCAGGCCATACTCAGAACTCTTCAGGGCATCTGCCTGCACTGCTGCTCATTCAATACTGATGTTACCAGGAGGAGAGCAGAATCACAGGCTGCCAAACTGACATGGGAGTGAAAGTCTTGGATATCACAGAGATTTCTTAGAAGGGAAGAGAAGTTACATAAAAGAGATCAAGAGTGAAAAGAAAAACACCAGAGACTGTGATAATATAGGAAGCACTTGACTGTGTGTAAAGTTGCATGGGATTTCCTGTTTGACCAATTTCATCATTTAATTAAAAAAAAAAAAAAAAAAAAAAAAAAAAAGGCTAGGCACAGTGGCTTATGCCTATAATCCCAGCACTTTTGGAGGCTAAAGTTGGAGGATGTCTTGAAGCCAGGAGTTTGAGAGCAGTCTAGGCAACACAACGAGACCCCGTCTACCCACACACATACACATGCAGCACTCACAGCACACATACATACCAAAAAAAAAAAAAAAAAAAAAAAAAAAAGAAGAAGAAGAAAAAGAAAAGAAAAAAAGTGGGCTATAACCTTTCTTCTATAGGGCTGAAATAAAGGTTTTGTTATTGTTGAATGGCTAAAGTGGCAATGCTCATCAGCTCTTTTGGTATCACAAATAAAAATGCTCCAGGCTGACCAGGCCCAACACACAGATGCCAGAGCCTGAAGCCCAACAGCTCACAGCTCCACCATTTAGCTGCAACACTGGCTCTTCCACATGAATGAGCAAGCTTTCTACAATGTTTATCTGATTCCAAGAGCCACCAACCTTAAACACACACATGCAGCTTTCCCTCCGCCCCAGTGAATTCTGTATCCTGTGGCAACAGGCTTTACAGATGGGAACCTCAGCCACCGAGCTGGGTAGACACAGAGATGGGAGAGGGGG